CCCCAAAACCCCAAAACCCCAAAACCCCTTGGTGGGAAAAATTAGTTGAATAAATATTTAATATTGCTGAGTAAGTCAATGAAAATGGATTTTTGCTCTAAAGGCGACTTAAATTTGAAGATCAGGAAGATAAATTGCCTTAAATCTTTGTTTCAGACAAGAGTAAAGGAATTTAGAATGATCTTCAAGATTTCTAAGGGATGTTTAGCCAGAAACCTAGAGATGAGGTGGACTTGTCTCTTAATTTTTACATTACCAAGTTAATATTTATTTCTTTCAAGTGTTTTATAGAAAAACTTTCTTATTTAGGACTGGACTCTACTTTTCTCAAATTATTGAGTTTAATTACGCGCATTTTCTTCTTTTACTAATTTTTTACTCTTTGTGGCTGAAGATGGGTACTTATTAATGTTCTTAAGGCATCATTTTTTGCTAATGCATAGCTAAATCTCTGTGGTTGTGACTTAAGTTTCACAAATAACTAGTAGGATAAGAGTTTGCTTTCTCATAGTACGAGCATCTGAGATTATGGGGGACATTTTTTAAACTTCTTTGGAACCTCCTAGTGTTGGGCCCATAATTCAATTTTTACCTTAAATAGTTAAATCACTGATAGTCAATCTTTTTGTAATTTTTTTAAGAACTTAACTAAATCTTTGAATATGGTAGAATTGAGCCTACCTGAGTTTATCTAAAATTTGATAAAATCTTGTTAATTCACTCAGAGAATAATAGTAAGAGCACCCACATGATTAATCTTAGGTCACCAAGTCTAGCAGCACAGTTTATCAACTTATTTTAACATTTTCAGTTCCATCTACTTCTTTGCATTTTTTATAAATTTGAATTCTGAGAAGTTCCTAATAATGGCTTAGCTCTTTGGTGGGCTAATAATTCCAAAAGTCAGATAGATACTTCCTATTTCATCATAGCATTAATAACACAGAATCTTGAGTCTTAGACTTAAGGCTGAGATTCTTTATGGAAAAGCTTGTCCTAACATTTTAAGTGAAAAATTTTTAACAGCCTGAAATTTTAGCCAAATAGAACGAAAGAGAGATAAAGCCTAAATATTATTCCAAATTTTCACTTCGAGAATCGGAACTTGAGGTCAAGTCTCTCTGGAAAATTCAGGAATAAATAGAATTTAGTATTATGGTGATTTAATCAATCTAAACATTCAAATTAAAACATTTATTGTCACTCATTTTACGAATCAAGACTCTTCTATCTATTCCATCCAAATATAACACTTTCACTATCCCCAAATCCTCCTCTACCTACTAAACCACCCTAAACCACCCCTAAAATCCCCTTTTCCCCTCACAAAATCCCCTCCACCCCCTCCTCCACCCCTCCTCCACCACTCTCTTCCCTCCACCTCTCTCACCCATTCCACTACCAAAATCCCCTCCTCGACCACTGAGCCTATCCTTCCTCCTCCCCTTAAAGGTCCTAGCCCATAAAAAATTCCCAGCTTAACAGGAAGAATTAGCAGAAATTTTTACGGCAATTTTGGAATTTTGGTAAGGTCTATTGGGAATTGGAAGGGAAGTTAAGTTTTGTGAGGAAAATTTGAGGGATTTAGGGGTGCTTGGAGGGTGGGGAAATATGGGTTTTGGGGGTGGGTTTAGGCATGTTTTTGGGGGGTTTGGGGTGGTGGGAGTGGCTGGTGGGTGGTGGTTGGACTGAGAATTGTTGGTGGTTTGAGGTTAAGGAGGTTTAGAGGGCAGTGAATAGATAAGAGATTCATCTTGAAATTTTGTATTTGCAAAGATTTTTGGGATGTTTAATCTGGATAGAGTGTTTTATTCTGATTCGTTGCCACATCTAAAATCTTAATTGTGAATCACACTTATCTTATCCCTAGCCTTTAATAAGTTATATGGGTCTTTTGCTTTAAAATTCCCCTAAAATTATCTTTCTTGCTCTACAAAGTTAGCAATGATAAATGAAAATTGTGGCAAGTAAATTTGTGATTCTAGCTCTTAGATCCTTGCTTAAATATTCATCTTGTTGATAGAAGACTGCTACATCTATGATTTATGTTTTAAAACATTACCTATAGACACAAAGTGATGAACAAGTCCAAATATGATGTAAGTTGTCAAAATTCTCGATAAGTTTACCTTAAAGACCTCTTCTAATTTTGTCTAGATTAAAAGCAAGTTCTCATGGACAAGGAAATTTAACTATGGAGCGTGGACTACCTCTGAGCACGAACAATTTCTCTCTTGTATCTCTTTCATAATCCATGTAGGTCTCAAGATTCATGGGCTGAACTGGTCAATGCTCTGACAAATGGTAAGCTGGCCTGATTGAGCTAAAGGTTCCTACAAGGAGTCGACAACAGATTGAAACTCATCTTAAGGGGTATTTCAAGCAGATCAAAAAGTATCATAAAGTAGAAGACCCTTTGGAGTATGTCCAGAAGTTGTAAGTTTTACTAATCCCTTCCAGCTCCATTGAAAAAATTTGCTGATTCTCAAATTTTATAAATATTTAATACCTAGTTAAGCTAGAAACTTACTGTGTTAAACAATAAGATCACCATGAAATATTTTGTCATTTTTATTGCAAAGGATAATTCTTAAGCATTTTTGGATAATTACTTAAAGCTACAGATCATGTAGTTCCTTAAATCAGTTTTTCGGATGAAACCAGTATCATTGACTGCGTTAATAATGGATTCATTAAACCCTTACTATCCAACCAACTTTCAGAAGAAATGGAGACTCTAGAGTCTGGTAGTTAAACTTAATCTCAGGTTTTGTACTGTACTTAGTAAATTAAAATTGTCAATGAATACCTGAACCTCACCTGAAAAATAGTCAATTCTTGCTATAAAATAAGCCAGTCAGCTTAATAGGTAGTCTTAATCAAAACATTTGGCGCTTACATCCTAAATACCGGCTATAAATTTTCTAGAATATTACAGTTTAGAGCTAAATTTGATAAAATCTCTCACACAATCGAGACAATCACACAATGTCAAGAGTCTAAATCTTTGGGTTTTATGATAATTTTTAGTGAAAACATTAAGAGTCAGGAGTCACCGATAATCAACAGTGAAGTTTGAGCAGACAAACAGAATAAGCCAACTTGGTATGACTACAATTATGCTCAGAATAAACTTAAATTTAGTAGAGGAGATGAATTGAAGCATAAATGCTCATTTGAGAAAATAAGAAACATCCCTTTAGATACAGACCTAAGAGTAGAGGAGGAGAAACATCCTAAAAAGCGTGACAATAAATTCTTACATAAGTGCTTACAGAACCAAGATTCTGATAAAGAAATGTCAGACGAAGAGCATGTTTATCAAAAAGTATCCATCGCCGAGACAACCAGACAGAATAGAGTTCGTCCAGCTAGGATCAGACAGAATCCTCCAAAGTATGAGATTCTTCTAATTTCATGATCTTCCTGATGAGTTAGGGTTATCCTTACTTGAAATTACTTTCTTGATAACCAAACTTGCTCTTCTCCAACTGGTAAATCTTTAAGAATACTACTTTAATGTTTATAGACTAGAGAGAGAAGATGAGAAATTTCGTTCTGATTTAGCTAAAAGCCTTTCCTCAAGTATGGAATCAAAGGAGCATTGTGAACCAAAAAGTTATCTAGTGTTAGATGAAGGAAGGATCATCATCCCGTGAGTTATGATCCAAACCAAAGCGATATTGGATTACACTAAGATTGGTTCGAAAATACTATTGTGTACACCTAAAGGAAATGTGGACATCAAAATGTTACCGATTTCTTTAGAGATTCCTCTTGGTTCTGACTTGAATAAGGATAGGACTATCTTTCAGAGCGGTAATTATCAGGCAAGTTGCTCTAAGGCTCCGCATCAGGCTTCTCATCAGACTCTGAAGTCTGCTGGTCCTAGTTTACAAGCCTTTTCCAATAAGACAGACACCCTTGTGGGTCAGACAGTGAAGTTCTTATCTCAATACTACTGATTTGATATGTGAAAGCATAAATAAATTTTAGATAAAATTTCGGGTTATATATTTTGTGTGGAAAACTTCAGGGTTCTGCAAGTTGCCTCCTGGGATACAAAGTTAGACAATTATTTTAAGAGCACACTGGAAGGTAGAGAGAAGATGAGAGTTAGAATAGACAGATTAAAAACATTTAGATATGTTTGTGTTGTTTCTCTCTTTTTGATTTATCAAGAGTACAGAAAGCATAGTCTGAATATTTCTGGATTCCTTGTAGCTTATTGATATTATATTTCAATACTTAGAATCAGCCTTGGGGTTTTGGGGTTTTGGGGTTTTGGGG